ACAGTGCAAAAGTCAAGGACGCAGGTAAGATGGACATAAGCAAGCGCACACATGCATTGCTTGGCATGAAGATGCAGGGAATGCCAGCGGGGCAATAGCGAGTCGTCTATGCATGTTTCTAGCTGGGAACCGTAACCTTCGCAACAAGATAGGGCGTGCTTGCGGCTGCTGTGCACGCACGGTCTCATATCGCCGCAGAGCACAATCTTCATGGCTGTAGTGATGCAGGGAGCAGCTCGAATGGGACTTGAACCAGTATTCGGGCCCACAAGAGTTCGACGACTCTGCGTATTGGCCTGGTGCTCAGGATGGTGTGCTTTGGCACCTGCCAGCAAGACGGGTTTCCAGAAATGGTTGCCAGATGTGGCAAGTGCTGCATTCAGCAGGTCAGGTCTTTTGAACGTCATCCCTGGCCTGAAGATTTGTCTCTCAGAGTTTCGCCTCTTGCAATCAGAAGCAAAGCGGCCTAATTACCTTGAAATTCTCGGAGATGGTAGCTGCAAGACAGAAAAATGGGGCTTTTCTTCACAGTATAGCAAGAGCAGTTTTAGTTTCCCAAGAGGCCAAGCTATGTAGGGAATGTGATCCCTGTCATAGTGTATTACAATCTTGCATCTATTCCAGCAAACGTCTCCAAGCCCATCAGCATGTCAGAAGACCCTACCGCTTGCTTTCAGTGAACTTCTGTGTTTCAGGTTCCCAGTTAAAATCTGGGCAAAGAAGACAAATGCGCAGAAGGCTGCGAAAGACATTGAGGAGAAGGTGCAGGCCCGCAGCCGCAGAACATGCGTATACTGCCCCCCCTAAAAGCGTTGGACCTCAAAAGGCACTCAGTAGACTGTCCTCCGAATGGAGGCTACGCTCGGTTCCATTTTGGTTTAGGGGAGGGCATGCATGCTGTGAGAACACACACGGTGCTTCTCCACATTTTGTGTCCTCTTTGGTGGCGCATGACAAGAACCATGGGGGAGTTACATATGGTTGCCTGCATGTTAAGAGACGAAACTATCTTGAATAGTTTCATTTGCCAAAATCCACATGCTCATGTGTTGAGGACATTTTGGCCAAGAAGCTCAAGAGGTTCCTTGTGGCAACTTGGCATGAGGTAGTTTGCTGAAGTGGGTAGAGCGCTTCAAGGTAACATCTACTTAACAATGAGCTACCATAGAGTTGGTAAGAATGCTCCACATAGAGTTAGCACATGTGCTCGACTGGAGCCTTTTCTGGTGGGGATTTTGTACAACAGGGTTGCCAACAATTCCTGGCACGCGTAGCATTGACTACCTCAAACAAGTTGATCCTCTTTTGGGAGTGTTTCTTCCAGAGCTATTCCCGGACAACAGTGTTGTTGAGGCCAACACAGGAGCCAATGATGGCTCTGAATGGAAGGAGAGCTGCATGGCGTGCTACACTGGGCCCAAAGGGGCTGGGGCAGTGAGCAATTTCGGTTTCTACTGAGTAAGGTCAGAAGGCTCGTGTATGTCCGCAGCAAATTTTGCCTGCATTATTTTGTCCTGCTTCAGTTGTGTCCAAAAACACAAAAGCTGTTTTAGTCCATGAAGTCTTCTGCATTTGCGTGCAGGACAGTACATCCTAAGTGTATTGTCAGGAGCGGCTGGGTGCGTGGCGACAGCGGTTTGCCGTGACGATTCTGCCCTGGCCTCCAGGCGACCCATGCTCAGTATGGGGCAGGATCCGTAGAATCCCTACTCGTCTCCACTCCCAATATACAGTTGTCATTCTGAACCGCCTGTAGCGGTCCAGGATTCATGAGGCCTTTGCAGAAGGCCTGCCTCATCCTCTTGCCCATGTTGTGCTGGACCATATGTCCCTGATCTGGGTTCTGATTTCCAGTGACAGCAGGAGTAAGTAGTATGACAACAGCAACATGACAAGTAGTAAGCATACCAATAATGATTAACAGCACCTGGTAACCCTAGTGACAAACTGATTGATTCTCTAGCCAGCTGTGCGTGCATTGCAGGTTTCCCGCAAAGTCCTCTCAAGGAAGTCTGGGTGATTGCGCACAACGATGCGGAGCCTCACACCTCAGTCGAAACATAGAGCCATGAAGTAGGGCATTCAAAGATGTGTTGCTGTGTATACCCGTAGGGTTCCGTTTCAACGTCTCAATTGTTTGATAGACCATAAATCCAAATCCCACCTTTGTGTAAGGGGCGGTGATGCTCATAATTGCATGTCATTTTTAGAGATGTCAATCTTTCGGCCCTAGCCTCAGATAGATGATGGCCATTTTGTGTCATCTTGCTAGTGATGCGCTTCAGCTTTGCAGCACTGTTGTTGCTGAGGCAGGATGACGTTGCTGAAACACACCGAGAAATCCAGGAGGCCCCTTCGATTTTGCCCAGTATCCCAGCCTTGCACATGCGCACAGCATACCAAGGCTCAACGTTACAGAGCCCCCCTTCTGCGAAACAGTGTGTCTGTGCGTGTAGCGTCACAGATGGAAGAGCGATCAGCAAGGAAAGCAGTGGTGCAGGCCACTACTTCTGCAAGTCGGCCCGCTTGTGACTGGGAGATGTGTTCCTTGACTTATCTGGAAGATTTTCTTTCCTCTGGTTGATGAGTGTCTTTGTGCGCGACTGCTGGGCGCATGTCTCAGCGGACAAGCTTACATGGCTGCATCATCCACATGTGATATGTCAAGTGTTCAAGATCCAAACACCATGAGCGTCTCCGCGGTTCAGTTTACGAGACTTTCCAATAAGCGTCTCGAGCCCAACATCAATCACCTCCTAACCGGCCGCAATCAACCAATAAAAGGCGGCTTCTAGGCTTGCACCCATCATTATCATTGTAGTTTTATTTTGGGCCTTGGCGGACATGAGGAGAGCTCGTTTAATGATCAATCCGGCATTGTGCGTCAGCTGTAGAAGTTGCACTTCATGACAGTTGATGGCCTGGGAGTTGTGAGGGCTTTGGAGGGCGGGTACTGAACAGGCGGGCGGGCATTGATATTCTGCAATAATGGGCTGTGGGATCTGCTAGCAGGAATCAAGTAATTATTCAGCAAGTTGTCCAGATCAGAGTTGAGCATCGTGACCAGATTTCCTGACGCAAGTGACACGTGAAGCTTGATCCAAGGGATCGATCCGACCTACAATGATTGGTACTTCTGGCAAGCGGCCCAGCTTTGTGGTGCAGAGATAGAGTCTGGTGAGCAGACCAAGAGAACCCCACACAGCAGATTTGGGTTAGGCAAGAGGCCTGTGGACCCAACTGCCTGTCTTCGTGGCATCTGCAATGATTACAGCATATACCTCTGAAGTCGCTCGCAGACGAAAGGCACGCAGGCCTATGCCTAGTCAAGATGGACTAGAAACAAGTCCTGACTCCCCTTTGTGTGGGCTCCAAGGATGTTGCCGCATGCAGAGCGATCCGTGTGTTAGAGCCCAAAACACAAGAGAATTTCTCCAAGTTACTTCCACAGGATTCTCTATGAGGGACCTCTGCAATCCCCAATCCCTTTACCATCCCGTTTCGTGTGTTTTTAAGGGGCCCTCTGTTTTGACAAACCTCCTTAAAAGTGTGCCTTGCAGGAACAAGACGACACAGAAGGCTTTCTGGCCGCAGGAAGGTTATTCCGCCCCCTGGTACAGCAGCGGCCCTGGAGAGACCTAAGGATGCTGAGGTGTTACATCAGGCACCCTCCCCTCCTGTTGGTGTGGCTGGGGGTTCAGAATGATATGAGGTCTTCATAAACCCTCATGACTCTGAGTTGCCTCCCTTCCATACTGTGGGCGTGGGTGGGTGGGAAATTTTAGGACTTAGGAAATCAAAGAAGTATGCGGCGCATTTGTAAGTTTAAATAGTCGTCATTTGTAGACAGACTCAGATGCCAAAAGTGACAGCAGTCACGAAGATAGCACCTCCCAAACGCCTCGTCGCTGTGAGCGTTGACGCCTTTGTGATCGCGAAGGTCCGGAAACGGCGACCGTTGCGGAGAGATTCTGGGGTATGGCGGGTGGGGGGGTGGCCAGGAACGCCAGACCATGTATGATGTCCTCCTTAAGGACACATGTTGAAGATGCATGGCGATTATTTTGTGAGACTCCCATGTAAGAATTGTACGGGGTGGTCCTTTATCTAGTATATTAGGCAGGCAGATATGGGAGCCCCGAGGACAATTACTTTGTAAGATATCCACAGTCTCTTCCCTGCCGGCTCTTGGCAGTCGACCTTTTCGTGCATTTCTGTCACTGTCACGCTCATGGGATTCATCAACTCATGTGGAACTAGTTTGGTTTTAAGGCCGTGATACTGGCGGTCGCAAGGAGCTGGGAGCCCAGCAATGTTGTTTTTCTTGACTGTCAACCTGCCAGGACCAAAGTGTCTACCAGACCCCCCCAAATACCCAGAAGAAGGGCCTCTTAACCCAAGATTGTGGGTGCACAGGCTACTATTGTTGGTATTTCCGCGGGATACCATGACAGCCAACCCCTCTCAGCATGTGACAGGCACAGCACTTACACGCAGGAGGGTTTCCAGTGCCCTCTTTCCGGGTCCACGATTCATCCACTGTGGTCTGTTGGGCTTGAGATGTTCAGGTGGGTGAACGACGAAGAGCTTCACTTTTTCTTCGAGGCTCGTGTTGCCAGAGTCGCAAATCGTGTGGCAAAGGCATCTCGATAGCCCAGCCTGTGGTCAGACGATGCAGTTGCCATGAGCTATGAGCTGAGCGCATGTCCTCAGGATGAAGCGGAGGACAAACGAAATTGCCAAGAGCAGGGCTGACTCTAAATTGGCGCGGCCCTTGCATGTAGACGTCTCGAGCATAGTCACTACCTTAGCGCACTAGAGCACAAAGACGTGCTTTTATGTGCTCACCGCTGCATAAGCTGGCTGCTGTGAGTGGAAAATTCTGCGCTGACTTCGGGGGTGCTAGGACGTTGCCTAGGGCCTAGGGATCTTTGCTTTAGCGAATTCCTCTTCAACTCCGGCCCGAGACACAGTTTTCGCATTTCACGCGGCCTTCAACTATGGCACCTTCTGGCAGCAAGTCACGCGCTCTTGCAGCGGCTCAGCTGATAATGTGGCCCCGCTTCTCACCAGCTGAGGGCAGTCGCCTGAGGTTCATTATGCTTGCCGAAACATATAGCTCTTAAGCCAGGGTTTCGTCAGACTGCCAGGTATGGCTTGGATGCTTCGTCATCAGCCAGTGCTTGCTGTCACGACAAGAACCGCTTGATGACTTCGTGGCAAAGCAGCACAAAGCCAGTTGTGCATCATCTCACAGGATGCAGCTTTGTTGAAGCATTCAGCTTTGTCCGAAGCGTCCTTTTTCTGCAGCGAAGCCTAGAAAGAGCCACTGGGCATCACTGGGTCCTTTTCTTCACCTGCATGGGCAAGTGGCTTGCGCAGGTGGCGATGAAGCCCTACAGAAATACTCCCAGACCAGGTCTGAGAAGTGCAGCGGCTAATTCAGAGGTGTGGCCCTCAGCTTGATGCGACGCAGTGGCCGAAGGGTGCAGGGCTTGAAGGAAAACCGAGGGCAATAACATGTGACTTCTGAACTATCAGATTTTTCTGTGCCACGCGCCGGGCAGCAAGCTAAGGTTGGATTTTAGCGCGCAAATGTTGCTGTGCATGCTGCAGCGTTGCAGCAAGTGTAGAGAGTGTGGCAGCGATGTGTGGAAGGACGCCCCTGCTGCTCCGCAACTTGAAGCTGGCGGTCGAGCCATGCTCACGGGCTTCACAGCACCGTGTCCAGAGAAGCCTAAGGAAGAAGAGTCCAAGACAGTACAGGGTCGGTAGACGGTGAGTTGTTATAATTGCCTTTGACATGATTGCGCCAGCTTTTCATGTGCACTTCGAAAAGGGATTCGTAATTGCTGTGAAATGTTATATGCCCCTATAGCTTGACCAAAGGTGACCCCCACAGTGTGGAAACCCTCCAGATGCAAACCCTAAAAAGTAGTTTCCATTTTCTTTTCCATTCCCCTATATAACAGTATATCCTTACATATAATCCCCAGAAAGGGACAGCGCACCTTTCTGCCATCCTTAGGAAGGAATTACAGAAGCTGAGGAGCGAACCTCGCTGAACGGCGAGCCCGTCGAGCTGACTCGACCTGAGAGTGGCGGTACGTAGAAAAACTGGCAATGAGGTTTTGGATTAAGTTCAAGTTTAGAGAAGAGAAGGAATACCACCAGGATTCCATTCCTCCATTCTTAATCATCAGTAAGCAGGTTTGAGGTTGGCGAGTCGTTGCAGCCAAGATTTGCTGGTCTTGTCACCGCGTTTGTTTCAGTCGCCTTGGGGATGTGTGAGCGCTGTCGACTTTGTTGACAGCTGCACATTCCTTCCTGCCCGCAAGCCGGCAGTGGAAGCTGTGCATGCCTCCGAAACCCAGCGCATTCCACCGGGCTGACGGTAAGATGGTAGCAAGTTGAGCCTGTCAATCCCGCACCGAGGATCAGATTCGATGAAGAGCAGCAGAGTTGGCCGCTTGGCAAGAGCATGTCCTTGAGTCCGGTTGCTACCCGCAAGATCCCGCAAGCAAGTGTGTGGGAGAGCTTCGGTTTTCATGAAAGGTTGACTTGATTGGTGCAGCCGTTCGAGCAGAACCCAAGAACAATCTTTGTATCAATGTTTGTTGCCGAGCTTGACAGACATCTTGTAACTTTGGCCAGTCCAGTCTTTGCCTCGTCTTTCAGAACTATGGGAATTGTCAAAGGTGATGTTAAAGCCGTCATGCAAATTTTCCAATGCAGCCACATGATATTCTGGATGGCTTTTCTATGTAATGTCAGTGCAGTTGGCTCTCTGCGAGGGTTGTCCGGCGCCAGAGCGAGCAGAGCATTACTAGCCTGGTGTGCCTCGGCCGAAAGCTGGAAAGGTGGCGGTGATTTTGGTGATTTTTGGTCCCAGCCCAGCTAGCCTAGCTAGCAACGAAAGTTAGGTGGGTAGTCTGGTTGGCGTCTTGCAGGGAGGCGAAGCAAATGCTTGAGCTGGTCTAGCGTGCTGATGCCAGACTCAGGTCCTTAAAGAACTTGATGCCTTACCCAGAGAAGAAGTCGCCAGAAAAGCCAAAGGACAGAGAGTTCAGTCCTGTGAGCTTTCTGGCTACCATCATTGCCTCAGTGATCCTGCTGGCCACCGCGCTTGCCGTCCTCGTGCCCACTGTCTCTGGCATATACAAGGACATGACCGGGGAGTACCTTTATCGATTAGACGTGCCCTCGCTCTACTGATAGACCTCATTTAAGCGCCTGTGGAAAGAAGAGCGCCTGCATATTCATATGCCTCACTGCCCCACCAATCAGGGATCTTGTGCGGCAGAGAAGCTTTTTCGCCTGAGGGAGTGGCTCTTCACGAACCTGATTCAAAGTTTGTTTCGACGTGGAAGCTTTTGTGGCTCAAGCCGCCGCCAGCCCGACATCATCTACGAGCCGAAAGTGGCTAGGTGCAATAGCCATTGCCTATCTTGGCGCAGGCTGGGGGTGTACTTCTAGAGTTTTCTGTCATTCAACTTCTTGAGTGTAGCTTGGTCCGCCAGGTGTGGTGCAGAAGGTGTCTGCATCTCGCAAGTCGACGCTGATTCCTTCTCTTGGCGATCACATGTCCAAGTCAGAAGGTCTGGAGACACAGAGGCCGCTGGTTCCAGCACTTCGCGGCCTCAGCACGCTGGCAGGAAGAGAATCAGCCTCAAAAGGCTTCCTGGCATCTTCAGGATGGCTGGGGTTGGATTTTTTGACTGCAACCTCATCCCGCTCAAAGCCTTTGCTAGATGTCAGAACAAGAGGGTTTCAGTACCGGTCAAGAAGCTGCCTCATGGGATGAGACCAGCATGCACACCTCGCAAATTCTTATGAATTGTGGTCATCCCAGGAACATGAAGGCAGCGCCCATAAGAAGTCAAGACACTGAGCCTGAGGCGCCCTGGCACCTGTCTCGGCGCCTTCTCGGCTGCGCCGAGCAGGCAGCCTGCCCTTCCTGCCCTCCATCCAGCTACACAGCAGCAGTCAGTTTCTCTATAGAAAAGCTTGATAGGTTCCTTGGGTAATCTTTCTTAAGGCCCCTTTAACTCACTGGACCAGACGGGCCACAGCCAACTGGGCAGCCTCATACTGCCTGCAGAAGGATCCGCGTCTAGCCAAAGATCAGCCTCTCAGGGAGACAGACACGAGCACTAACACACCAGAATCAACATGATGATCGAAAGATGGAGTGCTCCTCCCCCAAGTCCGCCTTCCCCGCGTCCTGCTCGACGTGTTCGCCCTGTCCTTCATCCTCATCCACTTTAGCCTCCTGCTACTGACACTAGTGTTGGGTTTCTGAGAGTCCAAGGTCCGTGCGGCGTTCTATGGCCGGCCTTCTCTCCTCCCGGTGTCGGCCAAGTGAGGTGGCTTTGCTGACTTGATGAAACCTCAGCAGGCTTCATGAGACTACGATCGCCAGGTGTCTCAGAAGCCGGAGATGGTCGCAGCCGAACTGCCAGAGTTGGAGTCGGATAGATGTGTTCTCCGACAGCAAGCTAGAGGACATGCCTGTGGCATGAGCCGTTTCTCTTGTTGACATGACAACGCGGAATGCCCTGAAGGACAGGTCACAGCTGCAGGCTGCTTGGCTAGTTGATTCCATGCGTGGAATAGGGTGGCCTCTCATGACGCGAGGGCTATGCTGAATGGACTGTTGAGGGCTTGCTGAACGAGATTTGATGATGATGAGATTTGGACTAGGAGGTCAAGTTCTGGTTTTCCCGAGAAGGGACCAATGGCTCTGTTTTTCTTGCTGGCGGGGGACCGGGAGAGTTTTCAGGGTTTCTTGCAGCAGGACATGAAACACCCCTGGCCTGTCGCTGGAAATTGCCATTGGGATGTTTTTGCATGTTGTGCAGCACCCAGAATCAGCTTTCGGCGAGCTTCGTCGGGCAGGCAGCCATTTACTCGACTGGATCTTGAGGATAGGAAGTTCACAAGCGCTCCAGGCGACCATGATCTGGCAGAGTAGCAGCTGCCGCTAAGCCAGGCTTTACTGGCGAGATCGTGCAAGAGTCCAGAAGAAGATCGCAGGCCGAATTCTCACGCTCTGAATCTCAGTTTCCTGGTGATGGCCCGTATGGCGATTGACTGGCCTCATATGCATGTTTGCCCACGCCTGATTCACAGCCATTTAGGCTTGGTTTAGCCCAGATGCAAGAAGGATGCCTTGTGGCAGGAGATTCGGTCCTTGAGCAACCGTTTACGGTCAGTATACAAGGTGGCAGCGCATGCGCAGCTTGAAGGGGCAAACGTCACAGGGCAAAAGCCTTATTCGTTGGTGTAACCCCAACAATTTGGCCTAGCACAACATACGTAGCATTGTTGGGTCTCAGTCTTCGCAGATGGCGACCGCACAAGAGGTGGCGGAGGGCGCGCAAGCCCAAATCCTACAACATTTCACCCACTGGGATGCGGAGCCTCGGCTGATCTTGGCTGCTTGTGGGACTAGTCTACAAGGGCGCTTAAACTGAGGGGCCGGAATGAGGCAAAGGCACAGACTAGATTCATCAGGGCTCCCGGCCACCCTTTTTTGACTGCATAGCCTTCTATCTGAAAGTTATCCATCCAAAGTAATATGGCTTGCGAGCAAGTGCTCAAAATTCAGGATGGTAGCGGCACGATCGACAGGGATGAGCTGGCAGCCATTATGCATCCTGGGAGCACGTACGGATGCAGCAAAGGGGGCGCTGCTTTGCGCTGGATGTATCGCTTTTCGACCAACCGGGTCTTTGCAGCCATGTTATAACCCTAATATAACCCCAATATACTATAGTAGTTTCCATTTTCTTTTCCATTATCCCTATATAATCCCTAATATAATCCCTAATATAACCCCCAATATACTATAGGCCATTTTGGCAGTGCCCTGCGTTTGCGTGCGAGCTGCGGTTGGCATAGGCATGCTTGCAAGAGACAGTAACTGCTTGTAGCCCATAGGTCCATATAGTCCCCCTTAAGTAGATAGAATATGGGGTATATGGGGTTCTTATTATACAAAACCCAAAGCCATATTCTATCTACTTAAGGGGGACTATAGGTTCAGCAGATAGCATGAGCTGCTCGGTTGTTCTCGGCATGGCTTGCATGACCAAAGCCAAGGTACAAAGTGTCATCATCAATGTCGCAGCGGGATATCACCCGCCTCCTAGCAGTCATTGACACAAACCAGGATGGCCTCATAGACTTCCGAGACCTGACATATGATTGGTGTGAATGTTGCTCTGGTTTTAAAACAGCTGTTTCTTCGTAGGCTCATGCGCCACTGCTTCGTTCAGGAGAGTTCGTGGCCTGGATCACTGATCGACGAGCTGATCGCACAGTTGGTAACGATGGATGGATAGAACGCTTCGACGTGAAGACGCTGTTGCGGCCCATGTTTGAAGTCTTTGACCGGAACAAGGACGGGCTGATTCTACGCGCAGAACTGGAGGAATGCTCTCAAATCTTAGGCAATTCTCTCAGCATTCATCCGTCATCAGCACCAGACTGCCTCGCAATGGATTGGAAACAGCTTCCAAGCAATGAAACGGTCAGCTTCCAGCAGTTCGTGGACTGGCAAGTCGGCTCTCTGGAGAAGTGTGGTATTCCTAATAACCAACTCCCAAGATTGCCGCTCGGCTTTCCTTGGGTTCGCCACGTCTCGACTCTAGTCGATTCTGCAGGTGATGACGCCTCAGGGTTGCTTGGTGGTGGGTGACCATTAAGAAAAGAATTTTGGTATCATCAGGCAGAGGTTTCCTGCCGGCTCACCTTACGCTCAGAAAACTCCAAGTGTCTGGGATTTTTGCTTAAAGCCTGCACTCCTCAACAAAAAGACTAATGATTCGCAAGGTGATGTCAGAGGCTGGATCCCACTCATCTTGGTGGCTTTGTCCCCGCACCCTCAGTTGGCCCTCAAGGCTCTCAAGAGTGAAGCGAAAGGCTCCGGATTCGAATCTTCCTTCCCTTTCCAGCATTTGGAAGACACAGTCAGGAAAGGACGTGGGTTTTGGGGTCTTGCGTTGGGGTGGCTGTGCGAGGTTTGACAGCACCGATTTGGGTAATGGGGCTTGGAAACCGCAAAACGGTCTTTGCATGGGTTCATGGCTTAGACGCTCCGCATCCCCATGTCTGAACCACGAAAAACGAGTAGTTCTTAGCCAAGCTTGACCGTAGCTATCCGTAGCTATAGGCTGTAGCTGCTGACCTACAGCGCGCCGCAATCTGCAGTTATCTTGGGATTGCAAGGCTGGAAGAGCTCTGTGAGTCGCTGCAGATCATCTTCGACATCGACCGCCTGCATGGCCAGGGAGTAGAAAATTCCAGGGTACACGAGGCCTTGACAGATTCTGCCAGCTGCTCAGAGCCGCTGCCGCGTGGAGGATCTCTCCATAGCTCCCATTGAACCCCAGGTGAAGAAGGTGGCAGATGCCACGCGCCGAATCTACACGAAGAAGTTGTCGCAACTTGGCCCCACCTAAGTTTCACAGGGTGATTTTTTGGTGGCTAGCGTTCTGGTGTGGACCAGTTGCAAGCACTAGCACGCAGTTTCCTTTGAAGGGTGGTGATGCTTGATATGGGGCATGTGGCTGCTAAGGAAAATCGACAGCCAAGCTGAGGCTGGAGTGAGCTGCAGGATATTAGGGCGTGAAGCAAGCCAGGTTGAAGGTTAGCAAGTTATCGCGATGTATGCAAATGTGTAACTTGGGAGGTACCGCCTGAAGAACGGGCTGTATGGGTTTGCCCGCCCGATGTAAACGACATGCACCTGCTAGCGCGGCTCTGCGCCAAGCGCTCGGGCATCAGGTGGGGCACTGAGCATGCCACAGTGCGCATCCCGCAGAGAATTGAACAATCCTCCACACGCTCAAGTATTCCTTGGTGGGTGCTAGAGTGTTGCATGATTCTGCCTACTCGTAGCAGACAGGGCAAGTTGTTGCCCATCCCAGTGCTTGGGCTGCCAAAAAACATGCTGCAACGGAAGGCTGCTCAACTACCAGGAGGAGGGTACCATCGAGCCGGTTCGACCCCTAAAATGCTTGAAAGCCACTGCATGTTTTAACGAGCGATGCGCAGCGACTGGCTGCCCTGGCAAGAAGGCAGTGGCTGACAGAGCGCGGCACAGAGCAAGCGCTATTCAGAGCTCCTCATACTCACGGCCTGGGAAGGGAAGGACTGAGTTTCAAGAGCAAGCTTCCAAGCTTCTGTGCTCTTGTGCCCGCAGAAGATGGTAGGACTTCCGTGTCGAATCTTCCACAGTCGCCTGCTGCAAAGAAAATCCGCAAGCTATCTATCCGCAGCCACTTGGAAATGTCAAGGCTCTTAGCCCACCGTTCAGCCACATTCGTAATCCACTAGCGGTGAGCTCGAGGTGAAGTGCGCTTGGCGATCGGACACGTTTCGGTGTGTATACCTGACATGCTATCAGATCTGCCAGCCGCTTCGCGGCCCTGGATGGCGTAGCTCGGCATGATGTTGGATGCCCACTGCAAGCAAGATGACTTTCTCAAAAGTAATGCTTATTCTGGCCATCTCACCAGTTTGAGATCCTGTGACGGAAAAAAATGCCTGCTTTTGGGACGCATGACAGGGGAAACAGTCGTTCCCAGGAAAGTCACCCGCTCTCAGTACGACATCGAGCAGCGCAGGATGATTGATGATGTGCTAATTTATGTCTTGAATCGACTCTCGGCCGCCCTGTGATGACGCTGCAAGCCGTACCAAAAGCCTCCAGCCGTAGAGATGTCATCCTCTGCACTCTTCCTCGTGCGGCACTTTCCAAGGAGCCAGTACTACCTGGACAGTTCTGGAGGACTGAAGTAGAAGTGCTGAGCATTGCAAAGCGCGACTGCTTGTAGAGTGTCTGTTGCATCCTATCGCACTTTGCCGTGTGCTTGCCAGCTGAACTTTGTTTGTGGAGACGAAATCGGGAAGGTGAAGAATTTGCATTTCGTGGGTGGCTGCTCGTGATGCCCCCTGAGTAGATCATCGGGGCAGATTTATGAGTTAAATGGCGCCTGCAAGGACACGAAGCGCTTTGAAAAGGTGTGGACAATGTTACCTCAGGCCTTGCAGCTTTTCGCATTGCTCAAGGCGCAGGTGGCTCTTCGTCGATTTGAGTTCTTTTTCCCCTAGGCCCTAGGTATCACCCATGCCTTTTCCTGTTTGACAGCACTATCTTCTCGGATGATTTGCGCACGAGATTGCCGCATTATCTTGCCGTGAAAATGTACTTACAGAAATTTCTTTGTCGGCAAGTATGGTTAGACTGGTTGTTGTCCTCTTCTTTCCTGTGGCTGACTCCGGAACGGGCCGGGCCTGCTGGGAGTGATGTGCGGATGTGCTGAAATGCGTTTGTCGCAGTTGCGCAGTAACCTTTGCGGACGGCAAGTGGCAGACTTCTGTTCTTCCGGCATCCCATCCCAGCTTCTGAGGCACTTATGGCTGACTCTATCAGCTGGCATGGCACCAAGACAGCCTTGGAGGCGGCAGAAAATTACGGCCTCGTCAGCGCGGAGGCTGCTCAGGGATGCTGAGTGGAATGCACTGAAATTCTTGCAGTTTGCTCTTGCAGATAAGTGTAGGCAATTTGCTATGCAAAGCTTTTGCAGGCTTCCGAAAAGTACGTCGAGCCTTGCTAACAATCCGAGTCCTTTGCTGGCGTCAAGTTGGGTCTGCAGCCTCTACATAGAAATCCTCATAGTTAGCTGCCTCTGCAAAGTTGGTTCTTTCATGGTTGCGAGTGCCAGCCACATGCATCGGGCGATGGTCGTCCTGACAATCCCTGATGAGCCCTCACGTTTTGTCGGATGATGTGTATGCTGAAATGACGTGCTGGAGCTGAGGAGCACATGGAGGCAACAGCTGAGGGGCACATCCGCGACATATACTCGGAGAAGGAGCTGGAACAAATGGACAGTATTGAAGAAGCAGTTTCGTGGCAGCAGTCTCAAGAATCAAGCTGCAGAACTATGATATCTATTAAGCCTGTTGGGGAGGACCCCCCCACCCGGTTATACTGGTTCAATAGGAATAGAGTAGAATCCTGCTATAGTCCTTATTATTCCTTATAGTCACGATTACAGGGTGGGGGGTCCACCTAATCTGTATGCCGAGTCGTTGACTCATGTCGTAAAGTTGCCAATCTTTGCGGGTCAGCAGGGAAGATCAAGCACGCACTTGGCCGTGGCAGTTTGCGCCATCAGCTAGTAAGTGACAGTCTAGAAAGATGGGCGTCCGCACCTGAGGCCTACGAGTACTTGGAGGAGCATGTCAAGGTTTCACCGATCGAGATCCTTGCAGCCGCTTTCTCAGCCTGTGGCACCCAAAGCCAAAGCAGTTGCAGTGATGCTGCCTGCCCTGACCCTAGATACAATCGTGCCTACAGTGCGACACACGTGTAGATGCCCTGAGCAACTTGTTCCTGTAGGTCTTGTCCGAGCTGAAGTTGATTAAAGTGGACGAGGCCGTTTGGAGTCAGCTGCTTGAGGATGAGGCCACTGACACCTTGGGTGAGTTGGAGCAGTGATAGCCGGCGTCGACTGTCCGACGCTTGCTTTGTGTAGCCGGTTCCCCTTGCTGAGTCCAAGACCTTTGGGGAACACGAGGCGTTTAGGGTCAGATATTTATCAAGGCTTGCCTGAAAGTTAGCCCCTGAATCTGCGCTGGCCTTAGAGATTCCGTAAAGTTCAAGACCTGGGCCTTACTTTCAGGGAATCCCACCTGAACGAAGAAATTTCCCTGGCGCCAAAAGGCCATACAAGGGCATGAAGTGCTACTAATCGTGTCCGCCTTGAGTGTTGTAGCCACCTCGCAGATACCTATATTATCTGTATTGGTGCCTCTCTTTTTCTGACAGCTGCCGGCTTGCTGGTTTGGCTGCTCCGGCTGGAAGGCGTCAGGCTGAGTGTTTTAAGAGTTTCTGATGACTGGCTCTCCCAAGGAAGCCTTAATTCACTTTGACTTCGCGGCTGAGCAGCGTTGTTTTTTTGCCATAGTTTGTGGCAAGTGGAGTGTCACCACCCACCAGGCTATGCTTGGCCACTACAAGAGTGGCCCTTTCAAGTCTGATCTTCATGCATGTCAGAAAGGGCCCCCATGACTGCCCCAGTTCTTCCGATGTCCGCCGCAGCCCCCGAATGCAGTGGGGGCGTGTAGGGACAAGTAAGGGATCAAGAGTTGGTACTCGAGGAGACGCTTGTAGCTTATGGCAGGCATCAACGATTATAGGCGCAAATGAGCCGTACCATGATGATGCGTTCTTGAGGCCGAATGTGTTGTAGATGTTGATCCCCCGGTTGTCAGTACAGTAGGTTTTCCTCTCAACAAGTGCAGGGGATTCGCTTTTTGCAGAGCAGAATGTGGCGCCAAGCGTTCATGTGGTGCTTTTGGACGGCCCTCTCACAGCATTGTAGGACCGCGCAATCTACCGCTGGCAGTGTATGTGAACCATCCCGCATTCCGCTGCGCCTTGAGCCTGTGCGAGCCAGGCCTCGGATGGTTGTCGTGACGCTTCCAGTTGCATCCAGCTCCCGCGCATCAAGGCCAGCATGTGTGCAATTCCACAGGTTTTAGACCTTGGGGTGATTGTCCTATGTGAATTGTTCTTCTTTGCACTGGGTTGCGTTGCCGAGATTCGGGACGATCCAAGTGACATGCTCCCGCTGATGCGGACAGAGCTAGGCATGTCTTGTGTCCATACATGGGTTCATTGATGTCAATGTACTGCGGAGGTGCCGTGAAACTTGCTACCCGAGCAAAGGATGTGTTTGCCGCTTGACCTCGAACCTTTATTAGTCTAATAGAGTCTACTATTAGTCGGACAGTCGGGGTGGAAGGAACTCGAGCTGTTAGCCGATGTTCTCATTCGAGAAGTGATCCTCGACTGCAAGCAGAGCGTTTCTGCATATCCTTTTTATAGTCTCACCCTTGACATCGCAGCTTGTGCTGCCCCGAATCATTTGCAGAGCGGACGGTTGAACGCTGCGTACGTGCTCGGCAACGTGACAGCTCCGGCTTAAGAATGTTTCAGATGAAAGACGGCGGCCATGATCTGGCTGATGGTGCTGTTCAAAAGCTGCTTTTTTGGCAGGATGTTTGTGAGCTTTAACCCGCGTGTTCAAGTTTGTTGTAAAAGTTTTTCCACTGTGCGCATTTGCTGCATCGTTTTGCCGTCGAGGGGTACGCAGAGCCGTTCGGGTAGATCTCTTTGAATAGTGCATCGATCAGTCGCGAAGTTGAATGACGCTCGTCGATCAGGTACCAAGAGGATCTTTCTGGCGATCTGCAGCAAGACATCAAAGCAGCTTGCCCCGAGGCAAGTGGCTGAATGGTCCCTCTGTAGCTTACCTTCGGGAACCAAGTGGCAAAGGCATGTGGACATTGAGTCTGGTTATGATACAGTCTGGCACCGTTTGCAGTTTTCATGGGGCCAGAGCTGTCTGAGCCTCAAACCACAAGCGTTTTCTGAACCTGTCCTGTTTCGCCCTGGAGATCGCCTGGCTCGCAGAGTGCATCCTCCAGCTGCTCGATCAAATTTTGGATACTGACTCCAATAGTAGTCTGGGTTGCTGTTAAGGAACTTAAATTAAGTTACTATACCGGGGAAACCCGATTATTTACTGTATATACTCATTATGGTAACTTACTTTAAGTTCCTTAACAGCAACCCAGTATTGGTGCAAGTGGAGTCAGACCTAGCTCCGTAAAAAAAATGCTCCCTAGAAAGCCGTTCCCCTCAGCCCTCATGCGGCCACTCTTCTGAACATATTGATCCTTTGCATGCATAGAAGGATAAATCTTACATGTTGGTCTAGTGTGCTTAAGGTGCCCTCTGCCGGTGAATTGGCAGAAGGTTTGGCAGCCCTGCAGCAGCCTCGGCTGCCAGAAAGGACACTATAAAAGCTTAAGTAGGCAGAGACTTCTGCCAGGTTGTTGGCCTCTCCTTTAGCATAATCCTTTACTCCTCCCACACGGTGCTGTAAGGCTGTAAGTGTCAGAGATGCCTCGCGCAGAAGATCGTGCTGGTACCCTCGCATTTCAGGTCACCGAATTCCCTGGCTGGAGCCACTCTACATCGGCCCAGAAGGCACGACACACATTCAGCTTACGTGCAGTGGCCATGCGATGCCCTGGGTCATTCCGTGGATGGAGGAAATCTTGCACCATCTACGTAATACGCATGTTCCATGAGGCCCACGCGTCCCCACACCCCCTTCTTTAACATTGACAACTGTTCTGTCTGAGGCGGTG